ATATATTAAAGCTGCACTAATCAATATTTTTATATAAAGATAAAGTAAATGTTTAATGGGAAAGGGTCTCTCATAGCCGAACAGGGAATTATAACCCAACTCTATGCAGTGTTTTAGCTTCCTTTTTTTTAGCTCATTGTTTTGAATTTTTACAGCCCGCACCTTTACTGTTCTGACTTCACTGCTCTCCTTAACCGTGTTTTCAGCGAAAAGCTTATATTCTACTGCTTCTGCTGAGTACCAAAGGGTGGACAGACAATGTTAGCATCTAGCTGGTGAACACAGCAGAGCTATTAGCAGCTAAAGGAGAGCCAGACATTCCTCTCGGGAGTTGGATAGAGACAAAAACAGAGTGAGAAGGAAAGTGAATATTGGCCTGTGAACAATTGTTTGCTAACACTTGCTAAGCAACTTGCACATGCCAAAAAATAAATTAACAAAGCTTTAAAAAATTTTTTTCAAAATTTAAAGCAGCAGGAGCCAGTATATCCTGACTTTTAGTCCCCAATATCAACTTCCAAAACCGACTGGATCCTACATTTCCCATAATGCAACAAATACTCTTTTCAATAGATCCTTCCAGTTTAGTAAACGTCCACATCCTTCATATTCCTCAAGCCCAGTTTGTAACACAGGTTTATAAATTTGTTTCCTAGCCCAAGTTGAGATTACCCTGATGGTATCTCCACAGGTTTTTTTTTCTTCGACTTTACAAACCCACAGAAGAAATTAAACCGCTGGAGGGATTTAAAATTGGACTCCTGTGTGTCACCAAAAGTGATGACACATATCATAATGGTTAGGTTTCATGTATCATACTGAAGTAAAACAGAAACAAGCTTGAGCAGGGCAAGAGGATCCTTAAATTGAGTGAATGTAAAACACAGCACTTTCTAGTCGGGCCTCTCTGTGGTGAACTCTATGAGGCCTTTGTGTTCGTCTCCAGCATCTGAATAAACCTTTGGCTGACTGAAGTTGGTGATATTGTTTGTCCAGTTGGTAACATTCATCCACAGTTTTAATATTTATAACATTTATCAAAAAGGCATTGTCCCAACATTGTCCCCACGATGTCAATCATCTTCCTAGTTGACCAAATTTTCTAAATGTTTACATCAGCTTGGGAAGGAGGAAGGACTACGTTGAATTCGCAACAACTCTACAATAACCCCTTAAATTTCCTATCATTAAAAGGTATGTCGGTGTACAGAAACTCCACTGAACTTCCTCTGCAGTGGTCAACATCTGACCTGCTTTGGTTTAACACTAATAGAAAAAGGTCTACCTCCATTCTCATTGCTTCAATACTTCATGGGCACTTTGATTTCTTAGCTGCCGGGCTTCCGTTTTAGATGACATATGTGTGACTCCATTTGTAATACAGTGTGTGTTGACTTGAAATCTCCAAGCATGAATGACTTACAGTGTGGCACGGTGATGTTTCACGTCTGTCTGTGTTTGTACTCACGTCTAATGCAGCTGTGCAAACCTATGCAGGTGTCTTCTTGTCGTCTCAGCTGGTTGTTGGGCAGGATCAACCCAAAGAATGATTTTTATAAAAAGTCGAATAGGTTTGGACGAAATCGATATATTTATAAGAAAAAAAATGCATACCTTTTGAATGAAAATCTTTTTTTAGAGAGAAATATACCTGTACATTGTTATTTCTAGGATGTTTTTTTCATGTGTGTCCTAACAGCGAGCAGGAATTCCACTGGTGAGTTTGGACGTTATCACTCATAAGTACGTTTATTTGACTGTGCGGGTGTGGCATGCAGTAGAGCTGGCCAGAGATTCATGAGTACTTCTGAGTTTCAGCCAAATTTTTCACCAATATAATGCGTAACTTATCAGAAAGATCCCAAGAAGCCTCATGAATCTCTATTATTAATCCAAGAGTGCGCCATAAATGGCAAATTCAGTTGATCATTCTTAGTACCACTTCCTGATATCTTCCTAAGTCGCCCTTTATAAAGAGTTTACAAATTGTATCTAATTCATTTTTTAATTGTTAATCATTGTTTTACTAATGCTTAATAGATACTTTATAAGCCCTTCATTAGAAAAACCTTTGTGTTGCCAGGTTGTGAAATCTCTGTCTGTCGAGTCATTATTAGGTGAAAGTCATCAAAGCAATAGTTGGACATTTTGGAGAATATTCTTTGCTTTCCAGCAGAGAGTTAGATGAGAAGAGTAATACTACTGTCAGGTCTATCCGTTATGTATGAAGCTACATCCAGAAGCTAGCCATGTGATCTTCTCATCTAATTCTCCATCAGTAAGAATGAATGAATGAATTTCTCCAAAATGTCAAACTATTCCTTTAATAGGTAACAATAAAGGCCATTAAGCGCTAAGTCTGCAGTTATAAATGTTAATAAATCATTAACAAAGAGGCAAGAGCTTCTCACTTTGTAATGAATCAACAACAGCAACAGTTAGTAAGTCATCTGTAAATATAATCATTTGTTAATAAACTTATTTTGGTCCTAATACTCTGCAGTCCTTTTCCAGAAGGTCCGAGGTCAAACCATTCCTTGGATAAGTCTTCCCAAGAGCTAAAAAGACCGGATAAATACCATATCATAGATTTTCACAACTTGGAAACCCAAAATGTACATTGTTTTTTATTTAACCAAGAAAGCCTCATTGAAAAAAGGTGTCCTGGCAGCATGAACAGAGAAGCAAGATACTGTAGATGACAAAAAAATATTAAATTAAACACTATTGTGATACGATTTCTTCCTAAAAATGAAAGAACACGTGTATGTAACACTATAAAACAAAATATGACCAATCTCAAAAAATGATGTAATGAGGCCAAAACATTAAGATTGTAAATTACCTCAAAACATTGGTAGCCAGAGGAGAGGCGTCCACTTTCTGCAGACTGTAAATTTCTCCCTTTTAGATCTAACTGCAGCAGGGTCCAGGCATTAGTTCATGACTTATTAACCATTAATACAGCCATTAGAAACTCTGCATATAGGATTCCTTATCAGAAAGTTCTCTCACTGCTCCTGTCTGAAGGCTCGTAAAGGGGAAACATGTTCCTCCCCCAGGCATAAATAAATGGAAAGTGTGAAAGTGGGTGGATTGGATATTTGAACCTTCACATCCATGTGTTTATAGGTTCCCTTCCACTGGCTGACTGACAGGTGAGCAAAAGCTTGGATTAAACCCCAGTCACTGCTGCCATAACCGCACTGTAACTTGTCTCACTTCATGTCACATTTTTGTTAGAAACAGTTGTCCACGTTATTTTCTAATTGTTGTTTCTGTTTCTTGTTTGACTGTTTGTATTAAGACTGTCACAGTCTGCTGTACTGATTCATTAACTGATTGAAAGCATTTTAAAAACGCCTTCTGCTGCGTGTTTCTGTGGTAAACATCCTGGTGCTGCCGCTGTGGGTCTGGGGTGTGTTTCAGTGACAGACAGACATGCCATTGAGTATTTTTCTGTCTCCACTTGGTTGGACGTTGTTTTGGAATTTAGTGCTTTCGGTGGGCTCATTGTGCTCCGTGTGAGTGCTTCCATTCACCACTGACTAACGGCACTGTTTCAGTTACAGAATGCTTCAAACTATTCAAAATATTTATCATGCAATTTTCTTAGCATTTTGGGGATTTTTTTGTACAAATAAATACTTTACAATCTGCTCGTCTCACCTGACTCAGCCATGAAATACAGATGCTTTTTCTTCTGTGGTTCTTACAGTCTTCTCACACACAATGTAAATGAGCCGATGGCGCTTCCTGCTTTCTGCTGACATATGAGAATGGCATCATCTGCAAAGAATAAAACGACAGCAGGGAGAAGGGACCAAACAAAAGTTTTATGAAATGAAATATATGTTGCAGCAGGAAGAAGCTCATACCAATAATATGACCGCATCATGGCCACACATATCGTCATGTCTTCAGACCAAGACAAAGAATGATATTTCTAAAAAGTCAAATAGGTTTAGATTAAGGATGAGCGAGTACACCATCATCTGTATCTGTCCAACTATCTTAATAATCTGTATTTGTACTCAGAATTAAGCCGAATGTGGGTGGCGCTTAAGCCGGAAGTGGGTGGCTAACCAGAACTTGTTCATTTAAGCCAGAAATTGATATGGTTTGATATCGGCATATTTTACTCGCAAAAAGTAACTTATCTGTACTGGATACTCGCTTCAGCCGAGTACTAGCTCAACCCTAGTTTAGATGAAATCAATATACTGCTTCAGTAACCATGCTAGCTGTGTGGCTCTTCGGTCCAGACTGAAATAGCTCAACATCTACCAGATTAATTGGCAGATATCCACTGTGCCCTAATGACTGCAAAGTTTTCTCTTATCCTGTGAAATATCTATCTACTAGATCTCTCTCTCTCTCTCTCACCCCAACTGGTCGAGGCAGATGACCACCCACCTAGAGCCGAAGGGTCTGTCCTAGGTTTCTGCCTCTTAAAAGGCAGTTTTTCCTTGCCCCCGTCACCAAGTGCTTGCTCATGCTGGTACTGTTGGGTCTCTGTAATTGTTAAAAGGAGTTCGGACTAGACCTGCTCTATTTGAAAAGTGTCCTGAGATAACTTCGCCTTATGAATTGGCGCTAACAAATAAAATTGAATCTGAAATTGAATTGAATGGAATTGAATTGAATAAATTAAACAAACACAGCCAAGATTAGCTATTTCTTTATAGTTATTCTTGATACCTGCAATCGGGTCAGATTCGGTCAGTTTCCTCTTGAAATCAATGAAACGAAATGGTAAAATATACTGGTAAAAATATCTTCCAACGGTGCCGCCAGAATCAACACAAAATTAAAGTTCCTTGTAGGGCTTTAAGTGTGTAACACTGAGGAGGATCTATTGGCAGACCTATTGCTATGTATGTTTTCATTATATGTATGTATATCACCTGAAA